CCAGGCCTAATAAATACCTCTGTGGCTTCTGCTTCAACTTGGTGAGATTTATTCTGGAATATTGGCTTCTTTTTTTTCACCAGGCGAAACCCTTTTTTCTCATTATCCACAGCCGTTCTAAATTGCTCGACATCATTAGTATCTGCCAGATCCACCTCCTTTGGATATCAAAACTCATGGATGCTCACATCCCATTATATTCAATAGCATGGTAAAATGATGTCCCTTATATCAAATAGTAAGGTCAAGATTTGCTTTTTATTTTTTTTTTAATATTTTGAATCTGTGGATGGTTGAATCCATAGATACAAGAGATCATTTGTAGTATGCAGTTATGGAATTAAAGTGGCTAGACATTAGATAGTCTGAAGGCATCCAAAACACTTTATAAACAATAGCTATAGAGACATACATAAAAATAAAAAAGCATCACTCCTTGCAATTTTTGAGCAGATAGGAAATGGTGGGATGGATCAAAAGCATCCATGTTATCCTGCTGGGATATCAATATGAGTCCATTACAACAAGCCCTAATCCCAGGGTAAGATATGGGTTCCATCTATTACTCCTTTTTTTTAAAAAAAATCAATCCTGTGCATGGGAGCCAAAGAACAGAATATAATTCATTCTCCTGGTGGAGTCTATGAATGTTGCTTATGCAAGAATCCCAAGCTGAAGGAGAAAGGGGTTTTGGCTCAACGTGGGATGACGGAGAGCTCATACAAGGGTGGGATGTTAGCAAAGCCACTCTCACAGGGGGTTATGTCAAGGTCCTCTGGAGGCACAAGGGGCTTCAGTTGGAAATTCTGCAGGATGGTGGTGAAGAAGAGGAAAAGCTCCATGAGGGCCAATGCTTCTCCCAGACAGATTCGTTTCCCTGTAATAAAAATATGAGAATGTGTCAGGAGGCAAGGACAGGTACATCTCGTTTTATAATTAGATGCCTCTGAGATACAACTAAAAGAGTGTTTCACCTCACTTCCCCCCATGTACCTTGTCCACAGCATCTTTGGCTTTTAATGGTTTTTATATATGTTTTATATTGTTATGTTGATTGTTTTTAACTGCACTTTATGAATGCATGATATCGAATTGTGCCAACCTGTAACTCGCCTTGAGTCATTGTATGGTTGAGAAAGGTGGGCTAGAAATATTGTAAATAAATAATAATAATTAAATTTTATAGTTTTTCCACTCCAACCAGCAACTCATTGTTTTATATCTATTTGTAAAAATTTTCCCTTATCTCCACCTTGTAACTGGTTTCTGGAGGGTCTCATTGTTAATTTGAGGAATCCTAAAACTCATAGGTTCCTTTCCCCCAAAGTCCTCTTACCTTGTTAATTAAATACTTGGCTTTTCATGGACTTTGCCTTACAAACAACAATCTTGTTGTCTTATATCTATTTCTAAAATAACCCGCATAATATCAAGGTTCTCAAATGACTCCCATAATATGGAGACATACTGCAATAATTGTGAGTTTGAAAGGAGTAGAGATTTAGGAAGGGGTCAGATGGAAGGAGCAGTTAATGCTATAAAAACAAGACAGCGGCTGGATGGCCTTCTGTCAGGGGTGATTTGAATGCAATATTCCTGCTTCTTGGCAGGGGGTTGGACTGGATGGCCCATGAGGTCTTTTCCCATGAGGACTGGACTGGTTGGCCCATGAGGTCTTTTCCAACTCTTTGATTCTATGATTCTATGATTCTATGTCATAGAATCCACAAAGTATATGGGAAAGATCTTAAACCTCACCCATATTTGCTATTGGTGAATAAAGGGACCCACAGTAACAAATTCTGAAAGCAAGCATGGGATATCAAACAAACAAGAATGTGATTATTTAGGAGATTTTTACCTGCAGAAAATGGTACAAATGCCTCATTCTTCTTGAAATGTCCATTCTCATCCAAGAAGTTCTCTGGGTTGAAAGCATTAGGGCTTTTAAACATTGTGGGATCATGCAAGACACTACTGAGCACAGGACAGACCTCCATCCCCTGGGATAGAAAAATTAAAGAATTATGAGCTCAAAACTGCAAAATTTGAGTTCTGGAAGAGAACTTCCTGCATGGCATTCTTCAATTGGCTCATGGAACCCTAAACTGTGAACTTAGCCATTTTAGCAGGCTCAGAAGTTTCATTTAGGTAATCCATGAGAAGATGACAGAATGTTTGAGATTGCCTGCATTTCACAGCCCTCCTCACGTCTTTTCTGGATTCAAGGCCAAGGCCAGAACTAGTCTATCTACACTAAAGTCCTATGTGTCCCTAGGAAAAGGAAGAAGAGCAGGTTCAGTGGAGCCCTTCACTGTAGACTCAGGAATACGCAAACTGCTACAATCTCTCCAAGCATGTGTTCTTCCTCATAAACATTTTTGGCCATCTTAGCCATGCTCCGATATTTCTCATTCTTAGGCTACATATATCCTACTTTTCTCCAGTGAAACATTTTAAGGTAGGATGACTGCTGCTCATAGTTTCAAGACACCACCTGCCCGGGCCTCCTGCTTTCTTTCCTGGTTACCCCATTACTGTACCTTAGGGAGCTGGTATCCTCTGAATTCAGTGTCACGAGTAACCATGTGGGCCACACCCATAGGAAAAACATCACTGCATCTCTGTACTTCATGGATGACAGCATCCGTATATGGCATCTGGCTCCGGTCTTCAGTTTTGGGGACACGATTACGGCCAATCACTCGATCAATTTCCTCATGCACTTTTGCTGTTAAACATATGTATAGAAATAACTCCTTGGGTTTCTGACTCTCAAAGGAAGATGAGGTGGGGGGAAGCTATAGTGGAGTGGGGCGTGGGACAACAGGTGCCCATATCCTTTGTGCGGGCACCTCCAAGATCTCCACATTTCGTGGCTCAGTAGGTGGCCAAATCAAGGTTCACTTTTTCCCAAGTACTTTCAAACCATGGTTGGCTAAAGCCATAGATACAGAACAGATGAAGGCAGAGGACTGATTGACATGTGTGAAGAAGTGGAAAGTAGGGTGATATTTGATCATAAAGCTGATAGAGGTTGATCTTAGAATAGCCCCAGAGGTCCTAGGGATTCCAAGGGAAGTGTTCTGTCTGGGAATCTCTAAGTCTTCCAGTCTGGCTCTATGGTCAGCTTCCAGCAGAGGTAAAGATTCAAAGATTCAAGTTTAAACCTGCAAATGTGAGCCAATTGTAAGTGATAATAACAATACCTTGCACCTCAGGATACTTCATGAGAAGCAGGCACCCATATCTCAGGGTTGAACTGGATGTCTCTGTTCCAGCATAGAACAGATTAAGTGTGGTGAGCTCCAAGTTCTTGATGTTAAATTCACTGCCTGGGTTGTCTTTTTCCTAAAAGCAGAAAAAATGACATCATGAGTGATTCCAAGAAGAACCACTAGCAGGTTGAATGGGAAAGGGCAATTTGTCCTGGACTGAAAATAATCAAAACATTTTCTCCCTTCTATTAAAACCTGGTTGCCCATCTATGCTTCAGCTGCAAAGTAGGGAAAAGATAGCCTGGCGTTATGCATTGCAGTCATAGATATTTAACCTAAGATTCTAAAACCACAATTGCTCCATATTTTTTAACATTAACATTTTGGAGATAAAATATCCCTCCTGCTCCTTTAGTGGACAAAATCACTCCAAGAAATGAAGGGCTGCTCTGAAATTGGTTGAGATTCAGGAGAATGATGTATCTGCCAGACCCCTTCTGCCTGGGAGATCATGACAATCAAAAGCAGGATCCCTCCTCTATTGCCATGTCATAGCCTTACTCTCTGACAGGAGGCAGGGAGGTGTCCTCCAGTAGGTCCAGATCATCAGCAGGATAGTTCTCCATCTATATGAAAGTTGCTTTTTTTAAAAAAACAAACAAACAATATATGCTGCAATTAACATATATTCAAAGAGCTACTCTTACTTTGTATCAATGAAGTCCTAAAGCTTGGGAGCAGATATGGAAGAGGCTTCTCTCACCAGACTTGCCTGGGAAGGTTGTGATAGAAAGGCCTTATCTAAGAATCCCGACACATTTATGTTGTTTATTCTTTCAGTACTTTCCAACTCTTCGTGACCTCATAGACCAGTCCACACCGTCATCACTCCCAGCTCCTTAGAGTCAAGCAAGTCACTTCAAGGATATCATCCATCCATCTTGCCTTTGGTCGGTCCCTCTTTCTTTTTCCTTCCATCTTCCCCAGCATCACTGTCTTCTCTAAGCTTTCCTGTCATCTCATTATGTGGCCAAAGTATTGCATATTTATGTACTGCACATAAATGCCGAAAGGTATTGTCCTGTTCCTATGCTTCCTATTGGCAGCCTCAGTCAATCAACTGACTGAAGTTCTTTGGACCAAATGAAATTTCTGCTCCCTTTCAGAGCACTTTGGAATCATTCAAGATATACATCACTAGGCTTGTTAAAACTCAGAACTTGGACCTGAATCTACAGGTTTGTTTGGACATCTCCAGGGGTGCAAATTCTCCTGTTTTCTGGGCTCAGATTTATTCAAGATGTAAAGGGCTTTGTGCCAATCTCTAGCTCTGGCTCATTCAGCATCAGTTTGCAACAATTTGGAAGGCTTAAGTGATTTGTTAGTCCAACTTCCAAAGGCTCTCCAAGAACACTTAAAATGAACCCTTACCACCTTCATGCAACAAAAAGGTACCTTTTCCATCTGGATGAGGAAGCAGTCAATAAAGTCACGTGGGAAGTTGGGATCAAGGGTCTTTTGGTTCTCCTTGATTCTCTTGCCAATGAAGACCCTCACATCTAGCAGCAAGTCATAGACCTTGGTTTGGGGCCCTGGAAAGTATTTCAAGAAGCTGGCATATATGTTGTAGAACTGCACAAGGAGAGAAAAATCATTGTGGTTTACTTTTCATAGTCCAACCCAGTATCAGCAGCAATTTTAATTTGCTTTGGAAAGGAAGATCCAAGATGGCTGTTTTCTGCAGAAATCCATTTTATTTCATTTTGAATTTTAGATGCCCCTGACCCGCTTTGGGAAGATTCGGAGGGGGTGTTTCTATTCAGAGTTTGAAGTTTGAAATTTTGTGATTGTGTCAGTAAGATTTGGTTGCACTAGCACCAACGGGAAAACTTGCAAGGCATTTTTTTCTATCATTTTTATGGTTATCAGGATGAAACTTACCACACTTGTAGAACATATTTCCAACTGTAAGCCCGCCAAGTTTTAGAATGTTTCAGTCTTACAAAGAAATTTTATTTTTTTAAAAACAACGAGGTGTCTACTTGAATTTCTGCACAATGAGACAACATGAACAGGGTATCATTCCTGCCAAGTTTCATAATGACTTTAAGTTGACTTCAGCAAAACACAGTCTCTCAGTCTCAGAGGAAAGCAAAGGCAACCCCACTCTGATTATATCATTTCAAATTGTCCAAAAGAGACACGTAAAGGCTTTGTGGTGAAAAGGTGTAGTTGGTGATTCCAAGATACAACTCAAAATAATGGATGTGCCTAGCTACACTGTATTATAAAGTATGATTATGGGAGGGATGATTCTCAAAGCTCCTTCCTGGCTGCACTGCATAACAGTGTATGATTTATTGATTGATTTGGAGGAGAAGGGAAGAACTCCCCCCCCCCAAATGAACAACTATTCACAACTCCCTAGAAGAATTTGGAAAATAAAAGATGTCAGAAAAAAAGAATTCTCAAAAGGCTAGTAGCCAGAGTAGCACTCCTAAACAGGCACTATASGCAGAAAGAAATTGAACAGAGCTAAGGAAATATTCCCCTTCCAACACCACACCACTCACAGAAAATAGAGGACTTCCACCCAAGCATTTCTAAATGACCCTTGCAGATAGCCACGTGTTCTGCTTTTTTCTTCTGATTGGCTGACAAGGAAAAATGTGTGTGCAGATGTATGTGTTGATCATGCCAACCAGTCCCCATCCAGGGCGGCAGCATTTTTTTAAAAGTGTGAATCAACAAATTTTCCCATATATACAAAAGATTTGGAGGCTTCTGTTTAAATTCATAAATGCTTTGGAGGGTCCTTCCCACATTATATTTTGGCGAGTTGTTTCACTGACTTGCCAAAATTGTCCAAAATCCGAAACAATGTCTGTAATTTTGCACACTTCTACTAACTGGGTTGTTGTGACAAGAGAAGAGTGAAAGTAGAAAAACAAGAAACCTGTGATAGGAAAGCAGAAGTTCAAAAGATATGAAGAAAAGCATGGAATCCATGAAAAGCATGCCTTTCCTAGGAGCTTTTACTTGCTATTGTGCACCTTGGAGTAAAGATTTCATTCAAACAGGGAGGAGAAGAAAATGAGGATAGTGATTAAGACTTACTGTTTTCTAAGCAATTTTAAATGGAGCATAACTTTAAGAGGAGGAGCTTTGGAGTACCTGAGACCAGGCTGTGCTAATCTCCCGAAAGTTGTTGCAAAGCATCTCCATGAGAGCCTGGAATTCCTTGTCTTCATAGTCAAAACGATCCCCAAAAACAATGGAGCAAACAATATTAGACAATGCACGGCTGAAGAGGTGTGTTGGATCAAAAGGCTTTTCTGTAGCACAACAGTGAAGAGAATGAATGACGAATCAGTCTACAGAAGGTCTTTCTGGTGCCAAAAATACCACACAAACACACACCGTGTCTGCTAAGGAACTCACCACATGGGAGGAAATCCCCATCATAGAACACTTCACTAACATAGGACAAATTGTACCAGATCTTATCACATTATGCACAGCTGCTTCCGGTGGGATTTCATAATGGTTGCATTGGCAAAGTGTTCTGCAAGGGGGAATACAGCAGACTACCTGTGTTCATATAGAAAATATTGAGGACAGCGCAGGAACATGCCAGAAAGGAATTTTTTTGCAGAGAGTGATGGTCAAGTGGCCAATGCAGGCAATGCAGGGTGCTGGGTGACAGATTTGCCCTGGTGCCCCATGATTTCCACCTATGCCCTACAGATTCCCCTGCTGTCCCTCACAACACAAATCTCCATATTATGAGGGCCTAATTGTCAGGCCAAGTGAGATGTTGTCATTCTTCTTGCTTTAAAGATTTTGGTACTTTTACTCATCATAATAAGTTCAACCTGTCTGGCACCTCTCTTACCCTTCGTCTTCCGCAATTCCTCCAGCAGGAATTGGGCTTCCTCTTGGATTCGTTCCTCAATAGACTTTTTCCCCATTCCAAAACTCTTCAAGATGGTGAAGGAGAAGCGGCGCAGTTGCTTCCAGCGGTTTCCATTGGAAAAGATCACCCCTGAGGGACACAGAAAAGAAATGACAAGTGAAGCAGAAGAAAAAGTGCGATCAATTGTTGCCAAGGTTGCTAGGGTGCCTCACCATATCCTTGGAAGGTCTGCTCAAGTACAGGCAGGGTAGACCTTCCGCTGAACTCTTCTGCTTTGTCTATCAGGGCCTCCTTCACAGCTTGATGTCCACATAAGACCAGAACCGGATGTGATCCAAAATAGACGGTGAAAACAGGGCCATATTTTTCCTGCAGCTGTAGGGGAAAATATCCATCAATATCTCTCACAATGCTGATATTTTGTGAGGTTTTCTAAGAAATGCAGAAATGTAGTTCTGCACAACTACAACTATCTCATAAAGGTGTCAGGAGAACCGATGATGATGAAAGAAGACTTAAGGAGACAACTCAGAGTCTTTGTGAATCTTAACCTTTTCGTTATATTTGCCATTAGAACCAAAATGTCCAAGTTGAATTCAGCAGGCATCTTAAGTGGAGATTTATATCAACTTTGTTTATTCCATATATATAGAAAGAGGGAGAGAGAGCGAGAGTAGAAGAAGAAGAAGAAGAAGAAGAAGCAAGAAAGTAAAGAAAATGATATAGAAGATGACTTCTGATCTTCCTTACAGCCGTAATATACACATTTGTAATTGTTCTTACATCTCTTTCTGTTTAACAAATTCACTTCTTTCTGAAACCACTCCTTTTTAATCAGGTCTCCTTTTTCCATAAGAGACCAAAAGAAAGAAAGAAAAAGCCATACCTTGAGAAGAGATTTTAAGGTTTGGGATGCTTTGATCTGCAGGAAATTCCCAATCAGGGGCAGAGGAGTGGGTCCCGGAGGAAGTCTCCCCTTGTGCCATAGTTTCCTCTTAGATGATATGAGCAGATGGCAAGAAAAATATACAAGAAGGAGAAGGACGATTGTACCAACCCATTCCATGGCATGGGTTATCACTGTCAACTGTCCTTCTCTTTCAGCAGAGTGTGGACATCTGGCTGGGGTTCGACAGTCTTTTCTTAAGGCTGTCTGAGCACTGCCTTCTGCATTACATAATTGAACAGACTTGTTGCACAAGCAGGGGCGGCTCAACGTATCACGCAAAGTAAGCATTTGCAGTATAGTTTATTTTTCCAGGGGCGCTCTTGGGGGAAAATAGACCTTGACATATGCAAGTTGTAGTTATTGGGATGTATAGTTCACCTACAATCAAAGAGCATTCTGAACTCCACCAATGATGGAATTGAACCAAATAGGGCACACAGAACTCCCACAACGAACAGAAAATATATGATTGGTGGGGGGGGGGGGTGCCAAAAGTTGGGGGGGGGATACTGTTTCCTTACCATTGAAAATTACCTAGGGCCGCCTCTGTGCACAAGTCAACAATATGAATAGCTGGGATCTAACCATGTTTGCAATAAGGTAGCTGAACCAGTCAACTTCATGATGCCTGCATTTTTGGGCACCTATGCCCTCTTATTCCGGTTCATCATACTTTAACAAGATTGGATTCATCACCAGCTTCAGCAAGATGTAATAATTATTACACCAAGACAAATGCATTGAGAAAGAAGCAAATTCTGCCCAGGTCTTAATAGTACAGTGACTATTTGCTCTGAAGAACATATAGATTAGCAGTTCATCATTTCTTTAGATCTTTAGAATGAAGATCCCAGGCTACAGTGTAAACATAGGCACCACTATAACTTTGCTAGTACTGACTTATATATCAGAGCCTTTATTGGATCTCAGTCTAGACTTGTTGGATTGCATTGTGTTGGTGACATAGCAGCATTCACATGGGGGAAACAACCATCTGGTGAGACACTCCTGACAGAATATTTCATCTCTAGGCATTTTCTAGGTCCTCCAGCAGAATATAGTATTCTTCGGCAAGGAGTCTTTCATTTCAGTGAGGTTTACCATTATCTAGCTTTGCTGATAAGTCTGGGAACTTATCCCTCATCTGTATGTAGATTCAAAGAAAGATGTATGAAGCCCAGCTGTCCTTAAAATCATAAGCCATGGCACATAATTCAATATTATTTGAAATGTGTTGTCATATGACATTATTGTATCTCAGGCATGTAATACAATCTGATTGTGCTGCCCCCACCACCTCTAAATCCTATGCAGACAAGCAATGAATACTGGACTCCTGACAAACCAACATCAGTTATCAGTGAAGGTCATCAGTTACACTATGAAACAAAATTTGGAAAATGTTCTGTTCCTGGTTTTAAAGGGTTATCTCCTGTTTCATTGTGCAATATTGGCTTTGAAAGTAGTCATTACACTCCAGAAACTTCATTTTTGTGGCTGCCATAAATTATGTTGAATTGGTTGAGACGCTAAGATATTCATTTAAAAAACTATAGCAAAATGTGATGCAGAATGTCCCACAAAAACAAAGTATTTTGCAGTTTAATAAACCTTCTCCATGTTTTTTAAACAATAAAGCTAATTAGACAATGGCATTTATAGTCTAGAATCAAAATCGTGTTACATAGTATTATCAGAGAAGTTTAAAAATCCAACAAGTAAAGTAATGGCAACACCTCAAAGTGAGTAACATGTACGGTGAATTACTGAGGGCCAGGAAACTGTAAAAGGAATATCTTAACAATGTGGTACAAGATGTGTTATTTACTTACTTATTTTATATGCCCCTTTTTCCTCGAGTAGGACTTAAGGTGGCTTCCAAAGTCAATATCCAAGGATAACATTTCCCAGCAAAAGTAAGTTCTTACATAGCAGTCAACCCCATAACTAATCAATACCAAGCATGGGGGTGGTAGGAGCCCCCGGTGGCGCAGTGGGTTAAACCCCTGTGCTGGCAGTCTGAAGACCGACAGGTTGCAGGTTCAAATCCAGGGAGAAGCAGATGAGCTCCCTCTATCAGCTCCAGCTCCTCATGCGGGGACATGAGAGAAGCCTCCCACAAGGATGATAATAACATCAAATCATCCGGGCGTCCCCTGGGCAGACGGCCAATTCTCTCACAACAGAAGCGACTTGTTGCTCCTGACACGACAAAAAAAAATGGGGATGGTACCTTATATGAGTAGCGTGGTACCCCAAACAAGTTGTAATTTGTTTGGGGTACCATGCCATTGAAAAGGAGGTGAACATCTAGTTCCTTTGAGAACAATCATCTGATTTTAGACCTCTTCAAAAACAGTGATGCTTGCCAATTTTGTAAGAGCACTTCATGATTTTCATAGAATGATGAAACCTCAAGGAAGAACAAGAAGACACTGAATGGGCAAAGTCTATGGGGTTTATTTATTTATTTAATATATTTATTTAGTTATTTATTTGAGGCATTTGTATACCACCTTTCTCAACCCTGAAGGGAACTTGGGGCAGTTCACAGTTGAAACAGGAGTTGAAACAGGTCTTCAACAATTTCCCAAACAGGATTGAACTTTGGAGTTACTGGCTATTTGGGAATATTTGTAGGAATTAAAAGGGCATGCAGAAGGTTCCTTCAGTCTGTTGCTGTTGCTGTTGCTGTTGCTGCTGCTGCTGTTGTTGTTGCATAATACCTGTTGCAGGAGAAAACTTCCTGGGAGTAGATTTCCTCTCACTTCTTTTTGTCTATTCTCCTCTAGGAGTTATATTTTACTCAGATGTTTGTAACTTGGGGACAGCTGTACTTAGTAAATCAACATTAGAAAATTTTATCAGTAAGAATGTAACTTCAAAGAAACCTTTTTAAAAACCTGGTAATTAACCCATGGTACTTAATTTTGGGTTATTTTCATTCTTCTGAGAATGTGTTATTGTACAACCTTCTCCTCTATCTGAGGCATGTAACATAACCAGATTCTGCTGGGTTTTTTTTCCACAGCATCTAGATCCTGCTATGCAGACATGGCATGAATATAAGACTCCTGACAAAAAAAGAATCTGCCTAAATATAGATTATTTATGAAAATCATCATTGTCGATGAAGGTCAAAAACCCAACCAGTAAAGTAACTTCAGCACCTCCACCCTAAATGAGTAACATGTAAACTGGATTGCTGAGGGTCAGAGGATTTTAAAAAAAAGAAATATCCTGCATTTCATACAAAACTGACAACGTGGCACTAAATATTATGTATGTGCTTACTGCCTTACTTATTTCATATGTCCTTGCAAAGTCAAATAGATGGTTCCTGGTTGAACCCCATCATGCCTTGGAACCTTTCCCCTTCTCAAGAGCTTTTGCTTGCTATTGTGCCCCTTAGAATAAAGGTTTTCCTCAAAGAAGCATAGAAAACACCTCTTTGCATTGCCTTTAATTTTACTTAGGTTGCTGAAGTCTACCTACAAATCTCAACATAGGAATTAGATATTTCTCTGGCTGTGGAAAAGGATGACAAGATGTCTACTGACGTCTGTAGATGTGAGCAAAATAGTTTCTCCTAAGCCATAGATATAGATTGGTTTATTGATTAGCCCACTGACCACGTCAAGAATAAAAGGGAAAAAAAACCCAAAAATACACAAATAGATACTAATCACTATTCTAAAAGTCCTGCAATCCTTAGAATTGAGATACGTGTTATATTTATTTATTTATTTATTCAGAACTTTTATATCCCGGTCTTCTCAACCTCCGCAGAGGGACTCAGGCCGGCTAACAACAGAAAATGCATACACAAGTAAACTCATAACATCATAATACAGTAAAATACAAACAGAATAAATACATAAAGCCAAATCGACAAGATATATGACACACAAACACACACACACTAAAGAAACCACATTTTAAAATATATATTTTAAATTATAATTATTTTGAATGCAAAATTAGATTGTTTTTCACAAAGTAGCAGTTTTGCACAAGGAGGAAGAAAGACAAAGAAAAACATAAAGAAAAAAGATGGCTTCCGATTTTCATTTAGTAGTTACATATACATCCCTAACTGTTCTTCCTTATCTTTCTAACAGTTTGACAAGTTCACTTTTTTTTGTAACCAGTCCTTTCTGTGTCTAAATTTGACATCACAAAGGAGCAAAATCTCATGGTATCTCAGGATTAACATTAAAGACAAAGAAAAGGAGCTATCTCCTGAAGCAGTGGTTCTCAACCTGTGGGTCCCCAGATGTTTTGGCTTTCAACTCCCAGAAATCCTAACAGCTGGTAAACTGGCTGGGATTTCTGGGAGTTGTTTCCTATCTTGGATCATGCATTTGGGTTTAATTGCTCAAGTTTGTTCCTGAATAATTGTGGGACTTTGAATTCTTGGACTATCCTATAAAACACTAAACGGTTCAGGCATATCTGCGTGACTGCCTCTTCCCCTATGAGCCCATGCAATCCTTAATATCTGGGTTGTTGTAGGTTTTTTCGGGCTATATGGCCATGTTCTAGCCTGAAAAAACCTACAACAACCCAGTGATTCCGGCCATGAAAGCCTTCGACAATCCTTAATATCGTCCGGGGATGCTCTTCTCTCGCTCCTGCCCTAGTCTCAGGTGTGATTGATGGGGACGAGGGAAAGGACATTCTCAGTGATGGCCCCTCACCTCTGGAACGCCCTCCCCAGGGAGATCAGGCTCGTGCCCTCTCTAGCCACATTTTGTAAGGAATTAAAAACATGGATGTTTCGTTGTGCATTTGACTGACGACTTCATGACATATGACCTGTATCGCGACTTAATTATCATTCAACCTGAATTTCCTATATTACATTACTATTCAGATTTTGTAAGTCAAACTGAATTGTTTCTGATCCTGTTAAATTGCTCTGCTTTCATGATATTTCCTATGCTATTATACATTTTCATCCACCTGATTGAACCAATTACTCTTTAGTCAGCCTGTATATTGGCCTTCCCCCCCCTTTTTCAAATTAGTTTTTTTGTTGCTCGATGCTTGTCTATTATTGTTATGTTGTTTTATGCTTCTTAAATTGTATTTTGGTATTGCTTTGCTTTTAATTGTATGTTTTCTGTAAGCCACCCCGAGTCCCTTCGGGGAGATGGAGGCAGGGTAGAAAAATAAACAACTTCTTCCTCTTTGTCTTCCTCTTCCTCCTCCTCCTCCTCCTCCTCCTCCTCCTCCTCCTCCTCCTCCTCCTCTTCTTCTGGATTCACAGACTCTAGTTCCTGTGGATTTTGTCTTGGATTTTGGGACATTACTGCTTACTTTGCTCAACTGACTGTTTTATGAACAATATTTTATTATACTTTTGAACTCCCTTTATTCTTTTGCTGAAGCAATTTTTATTTTTCAATAAACTGTTTGTTTACAAGAACTGTGGTGTG